TGTGCTGACAGCTCAGAGCCTGGAACCTGCTTCAGATTCTGTGCATCCCTCTCTCTCTGCCTCTCCCCCACTCACGCTTCTGTCTCTCTCTCTCTTTATCTCAAAAGTAAATAAACATTAAAATCATAATTAAAAAAAACTATTGTTTATTTTTGGGGAAAGCAGCGGAAGAGGAAACATTTTCTCAGAATTATGAATCGGCAACCTTGGGTCCTTGTCACGGCTCTGTCCCCAACTGCTGTAATAATTGTGAACGTTAAACCTTTTAAAGTTCCGATTTCTCACCTGTAGAAAGAGATTCTAAAATGCAAGTGATGTTTGGGATTGTTCATGTCCTAGGTGCCCAGCTAGCCCTCCATGGGTATCCACAACAGTGAAACCAAATCCAATGAGCAGGGGCCCTTAAGTCCTAAGTAAGGATCTCTAAATGTCAAATGCTGTAAGAGTCTGACACGTGAATGGTCGTCTTTAGACTCCAGAGTAGGGATGGGGGGCGCGGAGTAGGGAGCTTCGATGCTACCCTGTAGTAGAAAAGCTTTTTCCTCACTTTGCCCCCATCTGGCATGGAGAAGAGGAAAAACAAGTGAGTACAAGTATAGGATTTAGAAGCTGCATTCCTGGACGCTGCCTCCTCCAGTTGCTCTGACCTGACTCTGGTCAATCTCGTGCAAGGTGAATTCTAACCATCGCTAGGTGGGACCTATCACCTGCTGGGACCCGTCAGGCCTTGGAGGTGTGCTCTCCCAGAAGTAAAGCTCTTGTCTTTGAGATTCCAGGAGGAACTGTTACATTCAAAGACAGGGAAATGCTATGCCGAGCTAACTACAAACACTTGGGTGGGAAGGAGTTCAGTACATAGTGTGTCACAGAGTTTAAAATGTGGAAGGATGATCTTTTCAAAATGATGTTTAATTTAGGCTTATGTTTATGCCTGGTGGTCACAAACCTACTGAACTTGTCACGAGGATGAAATAGGAAAAAGCCAAAAGAGGACACTAAACAGTAGGTAGGGCAGCTTCTAGAAATCAAGGAGGACAATTTCCCAGGTGGTCAGGCAAACCTATCATTCCTTATCTTTCTCGTCCACCCAAAAGTTCTGACACTCGCTTCAAAGCTGTGTGGTAGTTCAAAGCTACTCAGATGCTTACAGGGCCTCGTGCCGAGCTTTGGGTATTTTCATGGGTTTCTCCTGTTCAGTCACTGTGGCCTCCCAATCTATAATTCTCCTCCTCCTTCCATTCCATCCTTCCTTCAACTGTTCTAGAAGCTTTCTTCATGCATCCCTCTTATCACTTTTCTTCCCCAACCAAAATAGTGTCGGGGAATTGCCCAAAGGGAGTCCCTATGAACGTACTAAGAGGAAGGGGCATGAGTTACTGCTCATAAATCGGGCACTTTTAAGGCTTTTGCTTTAATCACGATTTAAGTCTGACAACCACTGAGGAAAGCAGGAGCTTTTCGCCTGCGAGGACTCCCACCTTCATCCCCAGGATGAAAATTTCCCATGAGTAAAAGAAGGTATCACCTCATCACTTCCAGGATTCCACGGACACTTCTCTACGTTGGCAGACAGTTCATTTGTGACCCGAATCGCTTTCCAGCAGCACCTCAAGGGTTTAAACGCTACCCAAGCCCAAAGGTTTTCTATCGCCGCGGCGATGCTCCCGGTTTTGTTTTTTTCTACTTCCCCAGGCCCAGGCCCGCCCCTCGGCGTCGAAGTCAGGTCTTTACTGGTCTGCGAGTATGCTCGTCTCCGCAGAGAGCCAATCAAAGCCTCGCCTTCTACCCCATGGCTTTGGGAAGCGGAAAAGACCCGGACCTGATCCCGGGAGTGGGGCGAGGCCTCAAATGAGTGACAGCTCGACCCTCCAATAGGCAGAGCTCTAGGACCTGCCCCTTCTGGCTCCAGAGCTAGAAAAGAGCGTCGATGCCGGCGGCAGTGATGAGTTGTAGGAGGAGCTGGCTGCTTGGCGGTTCTGAGGAGAGGTGGCTGCTGCTGCTGGTGGCCTCTTTGCAGGTGAGTGGTTTTGTTTTCGAATTTTGCTGTTGCGACCCTTAACGTTTTTCAGTGATGTGGTGTTTTAATTTGAGCGCAGGAAGGCCATTTCTTTACTCCCCGGATTCCGTCTTTGGAGAGAATCTGGAGCTCGCTCGTCCGCCCCTTGAGCTCCCACCCTCACTTACTCCCCAAGGTCCCTCTCAGCTGTTCCTTTCGCAGAATGTGCCCCTCTGGGAGTCAGATCTGTCAGCCGAAAGGAGGACTCCGCGTTGGTAGTGGTGTCTTGACGGCAAGAATAAATAGGAGTTGGAGGGAGTGATGAACTCCTCGCTCCTGGACGTTTGAGGCACAGTGTGGCAGAGCCCCTTCACTAGTAGGGGTCCTGGAAGCAAGCTCGGGTGTTTTCAGAGCCATGCCACTACGACGATGGCAGACCTGGCCCTAAACGTCTAAGTAGAGAGAAAAAAACTGAATGGCAGGGAAGGAGAAAGAGGTGAATATCTGCGATGGTTTCATGTAGCTCTCAAATCGAGCTAAATCACAGGTTCTTAGAATCACTAAAAATTAAAAAAAAAAAAAAAAAAGTAAGTTTATTTCTCCTCCTTCCAAAGGGATGGGGGCTGCATTACTCGAGAAGGGCAACAGAAATGCATGATGGAAGTAAAGTTCACAGTTACTCTGAAAAAGTAAAGTTAAAGGATAATTGGTTGTTTGCTAACTTATTATAACCCTCTTCCCCTTACTGCCTCCCTTCCAAATTATGGAGGATTTACAGCCCGTGAGTGGTACCAGAATGTTGACCGAATGTAGACTTTTCGAGAAAAGAATCAAATGCTGCGTTTCACCAGTAGCTGCTACAGTTTTCTGTGATGAGAGCAGAACACATGTCAGTTTGTACTTTGTTCTAAACCTCTCTCCCCTGAGGACAGGGACTAGGTTTTATCCATCTTTGTATTCCTGTACCATCTCGACACACCACAGATGCCCCTCGAATGTGGTGGACTTTCTTTTATTTTAAGTTTTTATTTTTAATCCTAGTTAGTTAACATAGAGTGTTATATTAGCTTCAGGTGTACAACGCAGTGATTCAACACTTCCATACATCACCCTGTGCTCATCACAAGTGCACTCCCTAATCCCCATGTTGGTGGACTTTAGAGAAGTGTAATTCAAACATATGGTGTAATGGAAGGAGCTCTGAGCTGGAAGTCAGGACACCTAGGTTTTAGTCATGAAGCTGTTGCTATTTGTGTAATCTTAAACAAATCATTTCAACCCTCTGACTTAGTTTTTTGCATCTTTAAAAAGCGGATGGTGCAGTGGATTATTTCCGAGGGCCATGCCTGTGTTAAAAGCCGGTTTTAAACTAAAGGTGATTAGACATTTTCCACCATGAGTACATAAGCAAAAAATCTCATAGCAGTAAATTCTGGGCCAATCTGTTAGCAAATAAAAGTTCCCATCTACAAAGGGTGGTACTTACTCTTTTGTGCTCCCGTTTAAACCAAACCACATGGATCATTGTAGAAAATTTGGTCAGTGTACAGAATGACCATTGTACAGGGCGTAATGTGGCAGAAAATGTCATCCTTTATTCCGTCGCTCAGAGGTAACCACTGTTAGTGTTTGGGCAGATCTTCCAGTCTCTCTTCCTCTTTTGCCTTCTACGGTTGGTTGAAATTAAGTGGCACATTTCATTTCAAGTAATGACTGGTACATCTAAATTCAGCTGTGCCTTCATTTCTGTGGGCCTGGTGCTCAGAGAACAGAGGATACACAAATATTTGAACCAACAGGTCTCTTGAACATCCTTGGAATGAAGTCTGGTTGTGAGAGGATGTTTACGTGGAAAAATAAGACTACAAGTATTACTTAATGGTAATACTCTTGCACTGAAATTTGGCCACAAATATTGAAAAAAATGTACTTTATAAAACATAAACTTGACCAAGGCATTTGGATTGTAGAATACTGCTTAATATTTTGTATGTTTCTAGAGCTGTATCTTAACATCAACTCCCCACACCCCCAAATACACACAACATTTGATTGTATTTCTCCTTTCACTACCTAATTTAACCTTTTCTCTTTACCCCTGCCCTCACTTTACTTTTTTTAATTATTTTTTAAAGTTATCATTTTTTAATGTTTATTTTTTTTGAGAGAGAGAGAGAGAGCATGAGGTGGGCGGGCTGGGGGGAGTATTGAGAGAGGGAGACACAGAATCTGAAGCAGGCTGTAGGCTCTGAGCTGTCAGCACAGAGCTCAAAGCGGGGCTCGAACTCACAGACTGCGAGATCGTGACCTGAGCCAAAGTCAGGCGTTTAACCGACTGAACCACTCAGGTGCCCCTCATTTCACTTTATTCCCAGCATTTACTTCTGTGCATACCTCAGCAAGGAGGATCACTTTCAGGAGCCTGAGGTCTGTGCCAGGCTTGGTTCATCAAAGTCTGCTGCATTCAACCCAGAATACTTTTCACTTCGGCAGGAGTGCTTCACTGTAATTTCATTTAGTCTCACCCATAGCCCTTGAGAACAGCAGTTATCCTTATCTTTATGGATAAGGAGCCTGAGGTCCAGAAAATTTGAATAACTTGGTCAATATCACGCTGTCAGTAAGTAGCAGAGCTGGGACTAATGTCCAGGTTTCTTGACTTCAAACTTCTGGGATTTGGTGGAAATAGCTTGTGTTGACAAAAGCTACTATCCTGGGGGAATAAGTAACCAAAGTTAGGAAGGAGGTGTCATGAGTGGGTGTTTTGCTCATCAGTGATGCCGTGCAGGCCGGAACAAGCAACGTGCCTCAGGCAAACACTCAATCTCATTACAGATGTAGATGTCTTCCCTGTGAATAGGGGTCTCCCTGCTGTGGTTTGCTTTGCATGTACCAAGTGATCAGTGGGGGCTGCTGGTAGATGTAAAGCTGGAGAATGACAGGGTCGTAATGCCTGCAAAACACCTGGAGGTGATAGCATTTGCTCCTGGTAGAGAGGCGCCCTTAGATTACAAATACAAATAGAAAAGTTACTGTAAAGCTTTAGGGAAAGTAATAGATAGTGGAAAACAAGGTACTTTCAGGTACATGTTTGAACTTTTAATATTGAGCTTGATTTGGGGGAAAGAACGCTTTGTTAAGACTCTAAGAACTGAGCTCTGGATTTCATTTCCCTTAAAAACAGTTCCTTTTTAATTTATTAGAAACATGGCTAACCCCTCTTTTTTTTCTGTCCTCAAATACAGCCAGCCTACGTTCTGTAGAGTTGGATTCCTACAGAGTTAGGTTAAGAGTTGTTCAAAGCTGTGCAATGAGGTTTTGGACTAGGAAAAACATCAGAGTGGTTGAGGGTAGCATTTGAAGAGCTAATAATTAAGGGTAATCTTTTGATCAAAGCAACCCTGACTCTGTATCCCTTTTTTTTAAGTTTCTTTATTTATTTTGAGAGAAAGAGCAAGAGAGAAGGAGTCAGGGAGGGGTAGAGAGAGAGGAAAGGAGAGAATCCCAAGCAGGCTCCTTACTGTCAGTACAGAGCCCTACGCAGGGCTCAAACTCACGAACTGTGAGATCATGACCTGAGCCAAAATCAGACACTTAACTGACTGAGCCACCCAGGTGCCCTTCTGTATCCATTATTTTTATGTTACCTCAACATGATATCACTGATCACATTTCTTCCTCAGTTTTTGGAAGCAGAAAACAAACTAAGTTTTTAGACTGGTCTTTAGCCTGTAATTTTCCCCACCCATTCACGAGTTGTTATGCTAGAGTATTAGACATCATTACTTTTCAAACACCTGAGGAAGGGAGGCAGCAACGTCTCAGGAGCATTAGTTTGGAAGACGGAACGAGCGTCAGTTATTGGGGTTGGCGGGGGAGGTGAGTGAAATTATATGCTTTAATGAAAGGCAGGAGTAGGAGGCAGCAGCAAGATTGTTGTGCTACATTTGTTGAAACTACCTAGAGGTCCTGGAAATGTTGTTGTAGTAACCTCAGTAAATGCAGGGCCATGTGTTTGCACCAGTCCCCTACCTGCCTGCTCTCTCCAGGCTTGCCTTGCTGAAAGGATGCTGAGTCTAAAAAAATAAATAAATAGGGGCTCAGCCGGTTAAGCATCTGACTTCAGCTCAGGTCATGATCTCCCGGTTTGTGGGTTCAAGCCCCGCAGCAGGCTCTGTGCTGGCAGCTTAGAGCCTGGAGCCTGCTTCAGATCCTGTGTCTCCCCCTCTCTCTGTCTCTCTCTGTTTCTCCCTTAAAAAAAATAAACATTTGAAAATAAATAACATAACTTCAATTTTATGGTGGCATTTATGGAAAGAATATTTTTTTGGCTCTACAAGCGATTTAGGTGGAATTTCTATGCCTACACGTAGTGAAAAGTCTTTGAAAAGATGTCACCTGCATAGCGTGTTTCCTTTGAATCACCTGTCGATTTACTGCCGGGCCAATTGCTAAGCTTGTATTCCCGAGCAAGTGTATATTCACCTGAAGCGTGAGACACTGTGGCAATTTATGAAGACGATAGTCTAAGAAAAGTAAAGCATGTCAAAATGACCTATTTTTGAAGTTGCTTACTACCATGAATACGTCTTCTCTCTAACTTTACCTTGGACCCGTTACGAATTACGTGAATTAAGCAAAAGTAAGCTCCTCAGACTGATTTAAATGAGTTCAGTATTGTCTTCTGTGAGGAATAAAAACAATTATGAATGGGATTTCATTCCTCAAGGTACTTGTGGTTCTGGCCAAAAATAAAATCAGGTGATTTAATAATTCTGAGATTATCCCATGACAGGATGCTTAAAGGTTCGAAATGCTGATATGATTAGTAGGTCTGAATATGATACCCAGCTAGGCCAGGGATTGGCAAACTAAGGCCTTCTGGTCCACTCCCTGTTTTTGTACAGCCCACAAGCTCTGAATAGTTTTTACCTCATCTACTGGTTGAAATAAGTCAAACAATGACAATATTTCACATGTATGAAAATTATATAAAATTCTAATTTCAGTGTCCACACATA